CTACCTGGGTGATGATTAAGAAACTTACTCTCAGTATTGACAAAACCTACTACATTCAGTTTGGGAACAGAACTACAGATGTTCCTCCTAACATAATGATAACTGGATCACCTATCACAAAGATCACAGAGGGAAAATTCCTAGGAATCCACCTTGATAATAGACTCAAATTTCAAACACATGTATAACAAATTTCCAAGAAAATCTCCAGGACAGTAGGCATACTATCGAAGATACGGCACTATGTTCCACAATCAGCCCTCCTGGCCCTAAACCACTCACTCATTTACCCCTATCTCACCTATGGAATTTGTGCATGGGGCTCAACAACAATAAATCATCTCAGACCATTAATTACCCAACAAAAGGCTGCAGTCAGAATGATAAAAAATTCCCACTCCAGGCAGCATACTCCACCAATATTCAAAACTCTAAACTTACTCACCGTACAAAACGCCCGTACTTATTATTGTGCCTACTACATGCGTAGAACACTAAACTCGGATATAAACTCTCCCCTCAAACTTCTCCTTACCAACCTCAACAGAACACATGACCATAACACAAGGCACAGATCACTCTTTGATGTTCCTCGTGTCCATCTCACACTATGTAAAAACTCAATTCACATAAAAGGCCCAAAAATCTGGAATTCATTACCTGTGAATATAAAAGAAAGACTGTCTGTTTATCAATTCAAGACTCTTCTTAAAAACCACTTACTCAACCACAACTAAATAAATACTGAATAACTGTATCTCATAAATGTATAACCTGTGACCCTATCAAACTGTTTTTTTAACTGCATTACCTAATAGAATGCTCCATTCTCTTGAATGCACAGTAACTCATCTAATGACCACATGACCTATTTCTGCACTACAAATCATTGATTTTACTCGATTTGATTTGATTATTTTATACATTGTTATGCTACAAATTTGTACAACTTTAATACTTCTTATTTGAAATACTCATTTGTACTTCATGTTGTAATTTTTTACTGTAATTTTTACCACTGAATATATCATTGCTTAGTTTATCTTACGTTAATTTTAAGCCTGCCCATAATGCTCTGCATACAAGGGGCTTCTGGCATGTACACCCAATCACTATATTTCTTTGTATAACTATGTATCATGTCCAAATAAAAAATAAATAAATAAAAAAAATAAATAAGAGGCTCTAAGATATGGAACTCTTTGCCTGAAGCAGCAAGAGGTCCCCTGCCCGCAAATCAGTTTTGGATCATACTCAAAAATCATCTCCTCTCAATAACAATCCTACCCACACGATGCTAAACCCCAACCAAATTCAAAGCAACTCCCCCAAATACTGTATTATCCCTTAACTATTAAGCCATTTTTTACAAACTTATAAATGTATGTTTGTATCACTAATTGTACTACCTCGTATCAATAATAGAGTAAATGAACTTAATTACAAACTTAAAATGTATGATTGTATCATAAATTGTACTGCCTCATATTGATAATAAGAGTGAAATATAGAATATTTGTATTCTACCATTGTAAAAGAACCTAATTTTGTACCTAAAAATGTAAGATTATCATAAATTGTACTACCTCATATTAACAATTGAGTGAATGTTGACTGTTTGTATTCTACCACTCTTCACTTGTCTTGACTTAAGTAGTCTATAAGTACATATGTACAGTGGACCCTCAACCAGCGATATTAATCCGTTCCTGAGAGCTCATCGTTAATCGAAATAATCGTTAGTCAAGTTAATTTTCCCCATAAGAAATAATGGAAATCAAATTAATCCATGCAAGACACCCCAAAGTATTGAAAAAAAAAATTTTACCACATGAAATATTAATTTTAATACACACAAACTGAAGAAGACATGCACAATTACATGACACTTACCTTTATTGAAGATCTGGTGATGATTGATGGGATGGGAGGAGGGGAGACCGTTGATCTTGTTAGTGTTTAGAAGGGGAATCCCCTTCCATTAGCACTTGAGGTAGCAAGTCTTTCTGGGGTTACTTCCCTTGTTCTTTTAATGCCACTAGGACCAGCTTCAGAGTCACTGGACTTCTGTCGCACAACATATCTGTCCATAGAGGCCTGTACCTCTCGTTCCTTTATCCTAAAGTGTTTCACAACATTGTCAGTGTAATAGTCACCAGCACGGTTTGCAATAGCTGTGTGAGGGTGATTTTCATCAAAAAAGGTTTGCATTTAAGCCACATTGCACACATTTCCTTAATCTTTGAAGTAGGCAACTTCTTCAATTTTCTCTCTCCCCTCCTCCGAAGCAGTTTTCCTCAGGTGTGGTCTCTTACTGTTGAAGATGATCTAGCAGCTCATCAGTGGTTGTTCTTCATTGTCCTCCTCCACCAACTCTTCCACATCCTCCCCACTAACCTCACCAATATGAGCACTAGTTCCAGGCATTTTTTCCTGTTCACCTGGGTGTTAGTCAACTGTTGTGGGTCGCATCCTGGGGGACAAGATTAAGGACCCCCAATGGAAATAAGTTAGACAGTCCTCGATGATGCACTGACTTTCTTGGGTTATCCTGGGTGGCTAACCCTCCGGGGTTAATCGTTTCTCGGTAATTGTTTCATGTTAAGCCACACCAACAACACTCTCTCCACATCTTCGAGTAATACAGCTGATGGTGGTGCAGCAACAACAACAGCTGACTGTGGTGCAGCAGCAGCTGCACCTTTGGCAAGAACAGCTTCCTTGATTGCCGTTTTCTTACCCACAATTAGTAGTGATGGTTGATTGGGGTTTATTATACAACCTGACCAGCTTAGAGACACGCACTCCACTTTCATACTTAGCAATGATCTCTTTCTTCATCTCCATAGTAATTCTCACCCTTTTTGCTGTAGGGTTGGCACTAGAAGCTTTCTTGGGGCCCATGGTGACTTATTTTGCAGGTGCAATCACTACAAAGGCTGTGATAATATGAAATGTTCCAGTTGTTGTATGTTTGGAAGCGACTGCGGTGGCTGGTGTGCTCAGGCCAAAGTGGACGCGTCTCGTATGGACAGAATAGCGCTGGTCGGGTTTTTAAGCGGTAGTTGAGGGAAAATTTTTGCGTTAAAATGTATCGCTAGTCAGATTTATCGTTAATCGATGCCATCACTGGTTAAGGGTCCACTGTATTAGGTTAAGTCTTCCCAAAATGCCTCGGCATGATAGTGGCTTTCTTTGCTCCAATCGTACTATGATATGTAAACACTCATTGTAACCTTAGCAAAGAAATAAATATTAAAAAAAAAAAAATTAGTGTGAAGCATGTCAGGCTGTATAAGGAATAGCAGATTTATTTCTAGTGTCATCTGTATGATCTGTTGGAGCAATTAAAGGAATTGTTTTAGCTTAGGGGGCTTGTGGCTTGGCAGGCAAAGCTCACTTCACACACAGTGTGCGTGGTTCAATCCCCAGCAAGGGTGGAAACATCGGGCATGTTTCCTTACATCTGTTGTTCTCTTCACTTAGCAAGCAAGTAGGTACCAGGGTGTTAGTCAACTGGTATGGATTGCATCCTGGGGAACAAGATTGAGGACCCCAAAGGAAATAAGACAGACAGTCCCTCATTGATGCACTGCCTTTCTTGGGTTATCATGGGTTAAAAATACAAACAAAATATTATTATTATTATGGTTATTATTAAAACCAAGCTCTGAATCTGCAAGGGTCAGGTTAATATTTATGGGTGTTATGTATACGTATGTGAAATACTCAGTAAGATGTGTGTGGATACTATGTACATTAAGATTCTTAGAAGGTTCAAATCATTGAATAATGAAGAAAGGGGGAGAAGTGTGCTAGATTGTCCTAGTGGCCAATTTTTGTTGGATTATGATTAGTTGTAGGTGATTTTCTGTTGTAGATACACATGGATATATGGGTGATGGGTACCTAGGAGTTAGTTGACTGGTGTAGGTCGCATTCTGGAACAATGACCTAATTTGCACGAAATGCTCTGCATAACATGGGGCTTTCTATATAGTAGTATGTCATTGATGTCAGCTAGGCCTGTATACCATGTACATGTACTTGTAGTAAATAAAGATTATATATTATTATTATAGGTGAGGTAAGAAAGGTAGACTAAATGGTAGTACAAAGTAAGTAGTGTTGGTTGTAGTAAATCATATCATATATTCAGGAAATAATGTTTGTTTTGGAAACTTTCTTATATATGCTGGATATGTTAGCTAAATTTAAGTTTGACGTCAAGGTGAATACTCAAGAATTTTCCATTTTGTCTTTTCATTGTGTGTATTATCTAAGTTTAATTGTATATTGTTAGCTTTATTACCAAACATTATACAGCCTCTCCTCATTTAACGACGGAGTTCCGCTCCTAAGACAACATTGGTAAAGTAATTCGATGTTAAGCAAGGAGCATACTATAATAGTGGGTTTGTGTCAACTATCTTTGATATTGTTTCAATGTCGCCTTTGCACCATTTATATAATTTTTAGTATATTTTTAAATGTTTATACAGTAGTGTACTGTATATTGTAATAAACAGAATAGAGGAAATGCATACTGGTCAGAGAGCTGGTTGTAAGTCCGAGGCGTCAGTAAGCGAGTACGTCGCTAAGTGAGGAGAGACTGTATAGTAGTTCTTATTAGTATTGAGTCAGTTTATTTGATGCCATCCATGTGATTATCCAGTTTGAACAAATAATTAATGTTATGCATACGTATTTTTATAAAATAGTATAATACGTATTTTCAATAATACAGTCTGTTATTAACGTACATATAATGACATTTCTTTTGTAAAGTAAAAGGACACAAGTGCAACTAATGTGACATTTTATTGTGGCAACGTTTCGCTCTCCAGGAGCTTTGTCAAGCCGTTACAAACAGTACATGGACACAGAGGGTATATATTTATTTTTTATCCATATAATTAATTTTATTAGCTTTACCATTTTACACAACCCTGTACTCATAGTACTGTATTTTGTGGTGCAATATTGTATTTAACTTTCAGACTCACGCCTGGTCAGGATGCCAGTAGAAGGTGACACGACTCGCTCATCCTCAAGTGCCGGTGTGTCTTCTACTCCAGCCAAAGATGATGCTCTATTTGACCCCTGGTGTGATCCTAAAAATCCCAAACCCATAACCTTTCAGGTCTGTTATAACTGAAGCCTGAACATTTTAATAAAATAAGTGTATACTGTACCTTCACTATATATCAAAAGTTTTGAAGTTTTAGAATAATTGGTTTGAATAATTAGGTAACAAGTGTTCTTTGTAATAAAGAGCAACAATTCCTTTAGACCATACAATGTTATTTCCTGTCTTTATCTGTTTTTTTGGGTAATGTCCAGGTAAGCACTGCTTAGTAAGGAGCTATAGCTGGCACTTGTTGCTGTATTATAAAATATGTACTGTATAGTGTACAGTTTTTTTTTCATATAATACTTCTGATGATTTATGTATTTCAAGATTATGTACAGGTAATTAATCCTTTGACTGTTTCTGTCGTATATATATATCTTATGAGCCAGTGTGTTTGACGTATATATACTCAAAAATTCTAACGACTTCAAATCAAGCGGGAGAAAGCTGGTAGGCCCACATGTGAGAGAATGGGTCTGTGTGGTCAGTGTGTGCAGTATAAAAAAAATCCTGCAGCAAGCAGTGCATAATGAGGAAAAAAACTCCGACCATATTTTTGGATTAAAACTCCGACTTTGAGGTTTATTGTCGTATACTTTTTATGGTTATATTCTCGTTTTTGTAGTCACATTTGATAGAATGGAAAATTACTATAAGTTTTTATTCATTCCCTGCTGCATTATACTGCAACTTGGATTTTTTTTACACAGATGGTTTATAGTTTGCTCTACATGTATTTATTTCTCCCTCCTGTGCATTCTGTGTCTCTGATATCGTGTTTTTAATTTCTCTTTACCACTGCCCATCTTGTTGTTGAGTGACTTTAACGCTCACCATCACCTGTGGGGAGGGTCCCACTGCGACTCTTGTGGTGATCAGTTGAAGACTCTTCTCGCTTCTCATCCTCTACCCATTTTGACTCTTGCACTGTCTCTCTCCTGCATTGATCGTTGGCAATTTGCTCAAGCAGATTGAGACTTATACTCCCGTCTTACCAGCCGTTGCAAGGACCCCCTTTCGTTGTCTGTTGATGAACTGGCGCACCAATTTTCGACCTTAGTCCTAACTGTGGTGACTCATTCTATCCCCCAAACCTCAAGTAGGCATTCTCAGACATGCATTCCTTAGTGGTCTCCTACATGCACCCACACAGTGCTTTTAAAATGTGCTGCGTGGGGCCGGTATCGATATAACCATACCGCAGAGCGTCTGTTGGATTTTAAGCGGGCAGTGGCAGTTGCTGCATCACTTGTGATGCTAAACGCGCTTGTTAGCAAGACTGCATGTCTACCATTACCTTGTCTTCCTCTATGTGCACAATTTTGAAAAAGGTGCGGAAATTGTGTGGTAAGTACATTCCAGACCCAGCTCCCATTTTGCGGGTTGCCGGAGTTGATGTCGCAGAACCTTTAGAAGTTGCCACAGAAATTGGGAATTATCTTGTCCGTATCTCCTGAAGGCTTCACCTTTGTCCCTCATTTCTTGCGTCTAAACTTACCAAAGAGCAGATGCCCTTAGATTTCTCCTCTGATGGATTGGAGCCGTATAACATACCTTATGCTCTTCTAGAATTAGAGTCCACACTTTCCATGTGCTGACTGTCGGCACTGGGACCTGATGATATCCACATCAATGTGCTATACCATCTCCATGCTATGGCTCTTCATGTTCTTTTACATCTTTTCAATCTAATTTGGGAGTGAGGGGTTCTTCCACAACACTGGAAATCAGCTATTGTACTACCGTTTTGCAAACCGGGTGCCTCAGGACTTGACACCTCTCACTATTGTCCCATTGCCCTGACCAGTGTGGTCTGCAAGGTGATGGAATAATTGGTGAATAGACGTCTGATGTGGTTCTTAGAGACACACAATAGCCTTTTCCCTCGCCAATATGGGTTTCGCAAAGGCCGCTCTACTTTAGACCCCTTGCTCCACTTCGATACGTATATTCGAAATGCCTTTGCTAACATCCACTCTGTCCTAGCAGTCTTTTTCAATCTAGAGAAGGCATATGACCACTTGGAGGTAGCCCAAGCCCACTCCTTAGGCCTCCATGGTAATCTGCCAAACTTCATTGCTGCTTTCTTGTCCGACAGACATTTTCGGGTCCATATTCGCACCTCGCTTTCCTTGGACTTTGTACAAGCCGAAGGAGTCCCACAAGGTTGTGTCCTCAGTACTACGCTTTTTCTCTTAGCTGTAAATGACCTACCTTCCATTCTTCCTTCACATATTTGGTCACCACTTTATGTTGATGACTTTGCTATAGCTTACTTGGGCACTGTTAAATAGTAGCAGCCTCCCTTTAAGTTGTGATAGACCAAGTCTGCCATTGGACCACTTCTCATGGCTTTAAATTTTTAGGTAAAAAATCTGTTTCATTACCTTCACTAGACACCCGCTTATACTGGATACTCCCTTGTACTTACATGGTTCACGTATTCCGGCACATGATACGGCCAGGTTTCTGGGCCATGGCAAGTTGTCTTCATTAAAGACAACTTGCCATGGTTGGCTAAATCTCCTTAAGGTTCTCACACATTGTTCATGGGGAGCAGATTGTCACACTCTCCTCTGTTTGCATTCCACCCTAGTCTTGTCCAAGCTAGATTATGGTGACCAAATCTATTCTGCAGCCTCTCCTGCAACTCTGTCTAAGTTAGATCCTATTCATCACCAAGGTCTCCATCTGTGTCTTGGTGCTTTTCGTTCATCCCCTGTTGAGAGCCTCTATGCAGAGGCGAATTTTCCATCCTTGTCTGATCGCCGTGGTGCTCATTGCCTTCTCTATTATGTTCGATCCTATGACCTCTACAATCCTTCCATATATAGGATAATCACTGATGTTAATAGATGTTCTTTATTTGTTCGTCGCCCCTGTTTATTCCATCCCTTTTCTCTCTGCCTACATTCGCTCTTGTCTTCTCTTCATTTACCACCTTTCTATGTTTATGTAGCCTCTCACTTTTCCGTGCCCCCTTGGGAAGTTCTGGCTGTTCGTGTCTGTTCTTTCCCACTGCTATGTGCGAAAGCCCAACTACTTACGGTGGCTTCCCGCTCTCTTTTTCTTGACCACTTCCGCTCTCATTCTCATGCCATCGTGGTGTACACTAATGGTTCTAAGTCTTCACATGGCATTGGATTCGCAGCAGTGTTTCCAGTGTCATGTGAGGGGATTTATTATCCTCGGCTAGCATTTTTACGGCTGAATTGTATGCCATTCTTGTAGCACTTATCTGTATTGCATCTATGCCTATGTCACCATTTGTGGTCGTTTCAGACTCCTTTAGTGCTTTACAGGCTATACGGAAATTTGATACACCTCACCCCCTAGTTCTTCGTATCCAACTTTGGTTACACCGTATTTCTAGCAAATACAGAAATGTATTGTTTTTTATTGGGTCCTTGGTCATTTTGACATACAGGGCAATGAACAGGCAGACACTGCTGCACAGTGAGCAGTACATGACCTCTCAGTTTCATATAAAGGTGTTCCATTCACGGACTATTTGTTGTAATTGCTACCCATCTTCACACCCGTTGGCAACAACTGTGGTCTGATGTGCTCCATAACAAACTTCATTTTGTTAAACCCAGTGTAGGTTTCTGGCCGTCGTCTTGTCATTAGTGTTGAGGTTGGGAGACTACTCTCTCCCATCTTCACATTGGCCACACTCATCTTACTCACAGGTATCTCATGGAGAGGCATCCTGTTCCTCTCTGTGAGAATTGTCAAGTTCCAGTATCTGTTAGCCACATTCTGTTGGACTGCCCACTCTATCAACGAGCACGAGGAATTTACCTCCAATGTCGTCTCTGCTCTGCTGCCTTTTCTTTACCTTCCCTTCTTGCTGACACACCCTATTTTAATCCAGACTCTCTCATTGACTTTTTGACAGCAACTGATTTACTATGCAAACTCTGATGATGATGTCTCTGGCACTCTCCTCAGCCCTTTCCACCTTAATCTCATAACCAAATAATCATCCCTCTCTCTCTTGTTACCCATTAGCCCTGCATCCTTCCCTGCCCTGCTGCACTGTATAACCCTCGTGGTTTAGCGCTTCTTTTTGATTATAATAATAATAACCATTGACATACCAAGTTCACTGAGTTTAATCGTTTCTAACAACTACCTTCAGATGCAATCATAAACAGAGGGAGAAATAATGAATTATTCATGCTGAGAATTGTAAACAAAAGCTTATGTATTAAGACTCAACTTGCTTAATATACAAAACATACACTCTTATTATTGTGCCTAATACATATACAGAACTTTAAACTCCACTGTAAACCCTCCCCTAAAACTACTCCTTGACAGTTACAACAGAATGCACAGTCACAATACAAGGAATAAGGCCCTTTTCAACATCTCTCAAGTAAAACTCTCACTATGCAAGAACGCTATGCACATAAAAGGCCCAAAGATCTGGAACTCACTACCGGAACAAGTCAAGGATCCCCAGACAACTTATAAATTTAGGACTCTGCTATAAAATCATCTTATCTCACAATATTAACCAAATCAACCAAACATCTACTGGCTAGTTTTATCATGTGACCTCCTGGCTTTTAATTCTGCCATTCCATAAAATATTACCACCTGCACCATTCCTTGTAAATTAGATTTTGTACTAAGTATACATAAGATTTATTAAGTCCAAATAAGATTGTAAAACAGCTAACCACTATTCTATGTTTAGTTTTAAGTAATAATTACTATGTACTATTATCTTATCTAGTTTTAATTAGTTACTATGTATTAGAATTAGTTTGCCCATAATGCCTTGGCATGATAGTGGCTATCTTTGTACTTAGCAAATCAAAATTGTAATTGCACATTGTAACCTTTACAAAGAAATAAACATTATTATTATTATTAAGGGCGGTTACTGGGCCAACGCAGATTCATACAGTTTTCTCTAATGCTGAACAAGAAAAAATGTAATGTTTACCCTCCACCACATACAAACATTGCATGTTTATATGTTATGTAATGTGTTTCTTACATAATTTTGAAGAAAATATCATAGATGGATTAATGAAAATGTCTATATTAACGTAAAATAAGACATTTAATGTGCCCAAGAGTGATTATTATTACATACTACAGTGGACCCCCGGTTAACGATATTTTTTCACTCCATAAGTATGTTCAGGTGCCAGTACTGACCGAATTTATTCCCATAAGGAATATTGTGAAGTAGATTAGTCCATTTCAGACCCCCAAACATACACGTTCAAACGCACTTACATAAATACACTTACATAATTGGTCGCATTCGGAGGTAATCGTTATGCGGGGGTCCACTGTATTAGTATTACTAAGGCGTTAAGACTAGAGGGACACTGAATGAACAAGTAACAAAGGCATGTTTATATGTTATGTAATGTGTTTCTTACATAATTTTGAAGAAAATATCATAGATGGATTAATGAAAATGTCTATATTAACGTAAAATAAGACATTTAATGTGCCCAAGAGTGATTATTATTACATACTATTAGTATTACTAAGGCGTTAAGACTAGAGGGACACTGAATGAACAAGTAACAAAGGCATGTTTATATGTTATGTAATGTGTTTCTTACATAATTTTGAAGAAAATATCATAGATGGATTAATGAAAATGTCTCTATTAACTTAAAATAAGACATTTAATGTGCCCAAGAATGAGTCACGAACGTATGAGCTGCCCATGTGCACACGTCTGGTACCAACGATTTCCAAGCGGATGTACGAAACCCAGGGGGACATTTCGCAAAAGAAATGTGCTCAAATTCCGACTTGTACGATTTCCGCACCAGCCAAAAACCGGGGGTCCACTGTATGTAATACTTTTATAATTGACCATTTGTTCATTAGCTACTTTATTGTACTTATGATTGTAGTTAATGGCATAAGAAATCCTACTTAATAGTCTAATGTCTATATCTTAAGTAACATTTAAGCATTAGGATTAGTTTGTCTGAAATGTATTGTCTAATCAGTGGCTGTCTTTTGTGCTTACCAGTGTTTAATTACATGTCAATTACATTATTTGTACTGCATAAAGAAATAAAAAATTGTGTTGTTTTCCTGAAGATTAAAAAAAATTGTGTTTATGAATGTCCACCATTATGCAGGATTATTTTAGGTATTTATGATAATTAATATCATATTTTATGCCAAAACATATAGAGAAAGCATAATAAATCTGAGTGAATAAGCAAAGTCAATTTGATCATTAAAATGCATACTCTTTGAAACTAGCTTCAAGCTCTTATATGTTTGTACAAATTTTGAATATATTATGTTGTGCAATGATGTGAGGGAAGTTGATAGGGGGGACAATCTGGTGTGTTGTCATCTTCTTACAGTGCACTTCTTTTTCTCCCCACTCCTTTTATAGATATTCACTTCCACAAAACACAAGTCAGAACTTGTTCTGCAGGTGTACAGTAAGGCCCCGCATTAAGGCGTTTTGCTTTACTGCGTTCTCCTAATATGGCGATTTCAAATTATGACCAAAACTCTCATTACGGCTCCCCCTGTCTTTCTAATATGGCACATGCCACCTGGTTTGTTTACATTCTCTGTGGGCACCATGTCTCTCCATTATGTTAGGAAACTTTCCAAAATTTCAAGTGCTTTAAAGTTACAGTGGTCCCTCGCTTTTCGTAGTTCTCGGCAATCGTAAATTTCGCCAATCATAGGGGTATTTTCGTATAAACATGGACTCGCTTTTCATAGGTTGACTCGTGAATAGTAGTTCGTCCGGGACGCGTACGCACAGTGTGAGCCGGGGCGGCCTCCCTACCCAGCCAGTCTGGCATTGTTTACCAGTGAGTGAAGGTCCCCTCAAGTGCTCCTACGAAATATTTCATAATATTCCACTCATTTTAGTGCTTGCAAGTACTAAATAAGCTACCATGGCTCCAAAGAAAGCTCCTAGTGCCAAGCCTGTGGTAAAGAAGGTGAGAAATACGTACAGTGACAAAGTCTTGGGGCATTTTAGGGAAGTGTTAAAGAGATGCCAGAAACAGAGCTCTCTCCACAGTTACTTTGCGAGACAGGACTAGAGTGACTCTCAAGGTGGTCCTAGTGGCATTAAGAAACAGAGAAGAGAAGCAACCCCAGAGAAGCAATTGGTACCTGAGGTGTTGCTGGAAGGGGATTCCCCTTCCAAACTGTAAACAATCCAATCTCTCTCTCCTCCTCCAGTCTCCCATACACTAAGAAAAATCTCCAATAAAGGTAAGTGTTATGCTGTTAATGTTTCATTCATCATTTCCCTTTGTATTGTTTATATACTACATGTATATTTCATGTAAAAAAATTTTTTTGTTTTAATACTTCTGGGTGTCAGGAACGGATTAATTGTATTTACATTATTTCTTATGGGGAAAATTGATTCGCAAATCGTAAATTTCGTTTATAGTAGCTCCTCCAGGAACGGATTAATTACGAAAAATGAGGAACCACTGTATTTCATATTTTATATATACAGTGGACCCCCGGTATTCGATGGCATCGGTATTCGATAAATCCGTTATTCGATGCATTATATCGCAAAAAATTTTCCTCGGTATTCGATTGAAAACCCGGTATTCGATACGATTCGTACGAGACCTGTCCATGTGTGGCCAGAACTGCCCCGTGTGTGCCAGTGTTTACAAGCCAGCCAGTATGCGCGCATCTAAGGATACATTCGGTACATTCCATATTATCTATATTATCACTGTGTTTGGTGCTTATTTCTGCAAAATAAGTCACCATGGGCCCCAAGAAAGCTTCTAGTGCCAACCCTGTGGTAAAAAGGGTGAGAATTAGTATGGAAATTAAGAAAGATTTTGAAGGGTTTGGGGCTAACCCTGAGAAGCCTATGCCAGTTGTGGAATCCATTGTGTCTACTTCAAAAATTAAGGAAATGTGTGCACAGTGGGTTGAAGTGCAAACCTTTATGGATGAAAATCACCCTAACACAGCTATTGCAAGCCGTGCTGGTGACTATTACAATGACAATGTTGTGGCCCATTTTAGACAAATCGTAAAGGAACGGGAGGTACAGAGCTCTATGGACAGATTTGTTGTGCGACAGAGGTCCAGTGACTCTCAAGCTGGTCCTCGTGGCATTAAAAGAAGGGAAGTAACCCTGGAAAAGGACTTGCTACCTCAAGTCCTAATGGAAGGGGATTCCCCTTCTAAACACTAACACCTCTCCCCTCCTCCCATCCCATCAATCATCACCTGATCTTCATTAAAGGTAAGTGTCAATTATTTTATTGTTATTGTAATCATTCTATTGCATTAAACTTAATATTTCATGTAGTAAAATTTTTTTTTTCATACTTTTGGGTGTCTTGCATGGATTAATTTGATTTCCATTATTTCTTATGGGGAAAATTGATTCAGTTTTCGATATTATCGGTATTCGATGAGCTCTCAGGAACGGATTAATATCGAATACCGGGGGTCCACTGTACTCTGATAATTATACTTATGTGTACCTGTACCTAAGTAAACTTACACGCTGTGCTGGCACGTAGGTACACATTAAAATCACTATGAGTGTCTGATTAGTCTTGAAAATGCCATATTAATAATGTTAATAATAATAACACAATAATAATCACTCTGATTCACATTAAATGTCATATAAAATGTTAATATAGACATTTTGCTTAATCCATCTATGATATTTTTTTTAAATTATATAATAAACATGCTACATAACATATAAACATGATAAATATACCCACAGTAGAATAAATTAACATAAATATGAGATGTTTTTCCAGACGGCTTGTGGAGTGAACTAAAACCATACACATCCGGCTGGTTTGTTTACAAAACTCACGAACCTACAACTCTCTCATGTACTTATTCTCTCTCTCTCTCTCGTTCATTCATTTATTCATGTTTACTCACATCTCACCCTACATTAAGACTACAAATATATTAAGGTAAGCAATGAGCTTACTGTATATGCACTTTATCGCTCTAGGACGCTTTAAATGCCTAGTATATAATGTGTGGGTAGGGTGGCCAGATGGGCTACAATACCTACCACACTTTGATACCTACCTACTCTACTATTCACCTTGCACCCTATATTAAGGCCATTAAGCTTACAAATATTTTAAGGTAAGTAATGAGTGTCATTTGATGCATTTTATCGCTCTAGGGCTCTTTAAATGTCAAAGTATATTACATGTGGGTGGTGTGGGGTGGGGTGTCCTGGCTGGCTACCATACCTACCACACCTAACTTCTTACAATAAACACTATTCACTTCTAACCCTACATTAAGACTACAAATATTTTGAGGTAAGTAATGATTGTACTGTATGTGAATTTTACTTTTTATTGTGTTTTATTGTTCTATTGCTAACTTAATATATGTTAGTTTAAACTTATTATCTGACATTTATAAATGGAAATAAATGGTGTTCTGCTTTCTGGCGATGTCTACTTTCTGGCAATAGCCTGGAACCTAACTTACCATATAAGTGGGGTCCTACTGTATATGTGGTCTGTAATTTGTGCCCCTCCTTGTTTCTTAAGATTACATGTGTAAAATGAAGATTTTACTTAAATTATTCACTTGGAGGGTAATTGACCAAGGATAACCCAAGAAAGTCAAGCATTGTGGTTTATTTCCATTGTGGTCCATTGATCCTTTTTCCTAGGATGCAACCTACAACCAGGTACTGAACCAATGTGCTGTTAGGTAGACAGAGGCAGTAGGTATGGGAAACTTGCCTATTTGTTTCCATCATCTTGGATAAGAATGTGCATGTCAAGCACTTTTCTCTTAAATATTAATTCCAGGGATAACTAGTCATTAATATGTAGAAAATAGTATGACTTTTCCCTCATTATTCATGAAAACATGAATTTCATTATAAAATTCTTTACATTATTTACCAGTAAAGCTCCAATTTTCTCACCTGGTCACTAAAGTTTTTATTATCTGCATATTCAGGATGTGAGCGCTGCTGCTTTTAAGATCAAGTCTGGTGTTATGAACACACCTTGCACAAAGTCTCACATGTCCAGTTTCACCAACATGGAGATATTCTTCAAGAAAGAGTTCAACCAGTATACTGGCAGCTTCAAGGTCAGCATTATCTTTGGTTACATGTAAAATAGATTTTCAGTTCTTAATTGCTTTATTTCTTGATACATTTATCACTGATAAAATGTCACATTTTTTCAAACTGACTTGCAGATTGTGAATGTTTTTCATTCTTTTTTACTTTCTACTTCTTCCTTTATGTCTTTTTTTTATTTTACTCTTATCAAAATTTTGTTCCTATGTACAGAGTTAAAATTTCTTGTTTTACCGTAACACTTTATGGCAATTACTGTATATGTCCACAATTTCTGTATCACAATATTGATTGTTTCAGTTCAAGATTAAAGTATTGTTGCTAGCTTTGATGGTGGAACATATGGAGGATGGAGGAGGCAAGTGTGTGGTTATATATATGGATGGTTACTTTACCAAGGAGATTTTTGTAACAGTAGGTGTCAAAGCTTCTGTAACTCACAGATTGTGACAAGCAGGTTATTGCTACTTTAACAACCCAGGATTTCATCAAGACAAGTGGTAAAAAGCGTTTCCTCAGCAGTTAATTAATAATTAAAGCTAAAAGTAGAATGACCAAACATTAGGTTAAAATTTACACTAAAGTAAGTTTTAAGTCCTTTGTTTCATTTCTCCTCTTATTAATATTCTTTTTTTATGTAGAATGGTAAACTATCAATGATTTCTGTTGCAGATACTTAGGTTAATAACAACTAATTCTTTTTTTAAACACATTGGCCTTCTCCTAGGGTGACCTGAAGAAGAAGAAGAGACGAAAATTTTTCTTCTTTATAGATTTAGTAAGCCAACTAGATTTATAAATTATTTATGATGATACGTTCACTTAATCAGGATATTGACAAGATAATGTTAAAGTACAGGTACAACATGGATTTTCCAGACACTGATGGTCAGGAAACTCTTACAATCCATACAAATTTACTAGCAGGAACTTGAAATTCCTGCAGCAATGTATTTACCACCCAACTGTATGTCACTTATCCAACTCCAAGACCAAGGAATACTGCACTCTCTAAAGGCAAAAAAACTCAGTAATCCGGAAAGGCTTTGAAACCAGAGGGTCCAGAAAATCGATGTTGTACCTGCACTTTAACTGAATAATAAAAAAACTAAACATTGGAAGGGACCCTTGTTGCAATTCTAATTTTAATCATAGGACAAACAGGTGCTGCAACATGGACGCTTTAAAGAAAATACCCTTGAACTGAGAAACAAGTGTAGCTCACATGCTGTGGTAGGAAGTTCAGATGACTATTATAAACTCTCCTACACCATTGTCCCCTGCATTTTCCCTTCATAAACATTATCTATTTCATACTCTTGTACAAAGTGCATTCAAAATATGGATCCCAGGGTATAACTTACTGAGATGTGACAGAAAGAACAGGCAACAAGGGATGGGGATTGGCTTGTATGTCACAAAATCCCTCATTTGCTCAGAATTTCTAAATATCACATAAGTACATACCTGCACTCTTATTTTCTTGTATTTTCTTTCATTCACTTTTTCAATGCACATGCTCTCCAAGGAACGTGGTGCAAGATACACGTTATTGATGTTGCCAGAGGATCAGCAAAAGAGGGGTGTTATTGCTGCATCAGCAGGCAACCATGCACTTGCTCTTTGCTACCATGGACAGGAACTGCAAATCCCAGTCACAGTGGTGAGTCTAAGAAGAATGTGCACTCTCCCTCTTTTCCCTTCTGCCCCATGTTTCTTGCTTTCTACCTGTATCTTATTGTGCTTTTGTGGCAGTAATTTTTTGCTAAATTCGAGTGGTACAACAACAGTAATTACGTATTACAAAGTTTTATGCATTATTTTTTAATTTCCTTTTATTTTTTATGTACTTTATAAATTTCAGACTGAATAAGAAAGAAATTCATGAATTACATATCTGTTTCAAATAAGATACAATAATCATGGTAAATACAATTATAGTTTTAATAAATTTGGCACCATTGTTGAGCTTTTAATCTAGTTATGGATATTTAAGTGTTCCACATTGCTCTTGTATTAACCCTTGGACTGTTTCGGTCGTATATATACGTCTTACAAGCCAGTGTGTTTGACATATATATGTGTATACTCAAAAATTTTAGCGGCTTCAAATCAAGTGGGAGAAAGCTGGTAGGCCCACATGTGAGAGAATGGGTCTGTGTGGTCAGTGTGTGCAGTATAAGAAAAATCCTGCAGCAAGCAGTGCATAATGCGACAAAAAAAAACTGACTGTGTTTTTGGATTAAAACGCCGACTTTGAGATGTATTTTCGTATAGTATTTATGATTGTATTCTTGGTCTCATTTGATGGAATGGAAGGCATATTATAGAAACAGAGATGATTTTGATTGGTTTCACCATGAAAAGGACCTTGAAATGCTACTCAAAGTAGTGTAAATGTTCGATTTTTGCTGATGTTCAAGAGTAAACAAATGACATCATTGTCCGATAAGTGTCCAACTAGCCATTCTGATATGCAGTCACGAATGGGTTGACATTATTTATACAATTATTACAATAATGCAGTAGTCTGCATAATAATAAATCTTCTATTTTTTGTGTGACTAAAAAATCAAAATGGAAAGCAAGAGTAATATAAGAGGGGCCTGGAGACATGACTGATGAACAGAGAAAATGTAATTTTAGTGCCAGGAATGTCTGCTTTGTTCATTCTAGACCCTATTTTGAAATTAGCATATTTTTTTTTAATTTGCGTGAAATTGGCCACATTGCCAATTTCTGATCACTGTATTGGGTAGATGAAATTGGTAAATGGGTGGTTTCTTGTACTCAATTGATAAAACAAATGGAGTTTTAAAGAAATAGCTATGAGTTAGGTTGACTGGAACAATGGAATTGGCCGAAAATAGGGCTCAAAGTGGGCAAAATCGCCAATTTGTAAATATCGCCAAGATCACTACTTCACGAGAGCGTAATTCCACAAGTTTTCCATCAAATTTTGTACTTTTGGTGTCAATAGCATCAGGAAAAGATTCTCTATCATTTCATAAGAAAAAAATAATTTTTTTTTTTAAATATTTTGCGACACTGGGAGACACTAGGATTGGAGGTTGCGACAGTCAAAGGGTTAACATTTGGAATGAGGAGTGCGATCAATATGAGGCGTTTATTAATAGCCAGTACATAGATGGATATCTCCACCTATATTTTCAATGTATACCCCTAATTTAAAATTGTTGTAAGACCATCCGTTTTTATTAACCCTTTCAGGGTCCGTCCCGTAGATCTACAGCTTTACGTTCAGGGTCCAAACTGTAGATCTACGTCATGAGCTCAGCTCACTCTGATAAACTGTGAGTGGTACATTTGGGCCTAGATATGAGAGAATACATCTATGTGGTATGTGTGCACCATATAAAACAAATCCTGCAGCACACTGTGTATAATGAGAGAGAAAAACTGAAACCAAGATTTTCGATTAAAACAGCAACTTTGCAGTGTTTTTCATATGTTTTTTATACTTGTATTTGCAATTTCTTGGTCTCATTTGATAGAATGGAAGACATATTACAGAAATAGAGATGATTTTGATTGGTTTTAGCACTGAAAATGGCTTGAAACTCAGCTCAAAGTAGCGGAAATGTTAAATTTTTGCCGATGTTCAAGAGTAAACAAACGACCTCACACGTCTAATACACGCCAGCTGGTGGGTCTAATATACATTCACAAATGTGGTGATGATATTTATACAATTATTACAATATTGCATAACAGTAAATCTTCTATTTTTTGGTGTGAATAAAAATTCATTATGTGAATAAAAAATCAAAATGGGATTTATTTGTAAAGCCTCAAAACGTAACTAATGAACCGAGGAAATGTTAGTTTAGTGCCAGGAATGCCTACATTGTTTATTCTGGATGCTATTTTGAAATTGGAATATTTTGAACTTTGTGTTAAATTGGCCAAATTACCAATTTCCGATCACTTTATTTTGTAGTTGAAACAGTTGACTTGGCAATTTCTTGTGCTCAATCGATAGAATAGAAGTAATACTAGCGAAATAGCTAAGAATTTGGTCGACTGGAATGATGTAATTGGCCTAAAATGGAAGTCAAAGTCGGCAAAATCGCCAATTCGTAAATATCGCTGACACATCAAAATTCGCGAGAGCATAATTTCGTCAATTTTCCATCAAATTTTGTACTTTTTGTTTGATTACCTTCGCAAAAAGATTCTCTACCATTTCATAAGAAAAAATAAAAAAATTTTTTTTGGGAAAATTCTTGGACACTGGGGCACCACTTCAGATTTGGGCCTTGGACCCTGAAGGGGTTAAGTACCATCACCACCTTTTTTTTTTTTTTAGCAGTAAATAATTCTCTATGGGGAAGTGGTACAGAATTCTTCCTCTATAAGCTATGCATGTTATAAGAGGTGACCAAAATGCCGGGAGCAAGGCTAGTAACCCCTTCTCCTGTATACATTACTAAAAAGAGAAACCTTTGTTTTTCTTTTTGGGCCACCCTGCTTTGGTGGGATATGGCTGATTTGTTGAAAGAAAAAAAAAATCAGTAAATAATGTGGTTTATATTGCAGCATTTTTTTTTTTTTTTTGGTGAGTGTATGTAACTGTTTAAGTAATTTGTTCTACCACCACTGTACAGGTGATGCCCTTGGTAGCACCTATCATGAAGGTACAGGCATGCAGGCAGTATGGTGCCAATGTCATTGTTAAGGGGAATGACATTGGTGAGTGCCGAGAGTATGCCCTCAGGTTGGCCAAGGAGCAGGGTCTTCTCTATGTTAATGGGTATGTTAGTTCTACATAATTATGTAATTATATGGTTGTCCTTAATCAGTTTATAATGTCCTGAGCTAGGGGCTGTATTAATAATGTTGTTTGTGGTGTTAAGAAAACCTGCATAGTTTGGTTGTGAATATACATCATCTTAGCAGGATGACCAGCAAGCATTATCAAGACCTAATTAGAACTTTGAACTCGTGATTCTTTCTGCCTAGGTATATGCACATCTCGGGAATAAAGAATTACTTGAAAAATTTACTGAACCAGCTTGAAATCATGCATGCTTTCTTGTTAAACCACCAAATAATGTGTAAAAAGTTTATCCTTACATTTCAAGGCACAATATTTAATATTTTTTAAACACATCAGCCATCTCCCACTGAGGCAGGGTGACCCCCCAAAAAAAAGAAACACTTTCACCATCATTCACACATAAACACTGTCTTTGCAGAGACACTTGGATACAGCAGTTTAGATGTCACTCCAACAGCCAATATCCTAAGCCTCTCCTTTAAAGTGTAGGCATTGTACGTCCCATTTCCAGGACTCAAGTCTGGCTAACTGGTTTCCCTGAATTCCTTCACAAAATATTACCCTGGTCACACTCCAAAAGCTTGTCAGATCCCCAAAAGCCATTTGTCTCCATTCACTCTTATCTAATACTCTCGCACATGCCTGCTGCATGTCCAAGCTCCTTGCACACAAATCCTCTTTTACCCCCCTCCCTCCATCCTTTCCTAGGACAACCCCTACCTCTCCTCCCCTCCACTACAGATTTATATAACCTCCAAGTCATCCTATTTTGCTCTATCCTCTCTAAATGGCCAAACCACCTCAACAACCCCTCCTTAGCCCTCTGAATATTAGTTTTAGTAACTCCACACCTCCTCCTAATTTCCACACTACGAATTCTCTGCATAACATTTACAATGAACATTGCCCTTAGACACGACATCACTGCCTCCAGCCTCCTCCTTGCTTCTGCATTTACAACCCATGCTTCACACACATATATACTCTCATACATTTCCTTCCTTGCCTCCATGATAATTTTTTTTGCCCCCACAGATACCTTAATGCTCCACTCACCCTTTTTCCTCAGCCAGCTGGCTGAGTGGTTAACACACTGGCCTATGAGTTTTAGGATTCATCTGCCATGGGTTCGAGCCTCAAATTTTATAGTAGTAGGTTGGTAGACAGCAACCACCCAGGGAGGTACTACTGTCCTACCAAATGAGTGTAAGACAAAAACCTGTATTCGTTTTACATGATGGCAGGAGTGCTGGCGTCTTTTTTTCTGTCTCACGAACACAAGATAACAGGTATATCTTGCCACTCTTACTTACAATTAGGTCATACTACACATTTATGTATACATACTCAGATGAGTTTTCTTTGTTTTTTCTTAACAGTTCTTGTTCTTATTATTTTCCTTTCATATCCATGGGGAAGTGGAATAAGAATCTTTCTTCCTTAAGCCATGTGTGTTGTAAAAGCCAACTAAAATGCTGGGAGCAGTGGGCTAGTAGCCCTTTTTCCCATACAGCTTATTAAAAATAAAATGAAGAAAACCTTTGTAACAGTTTTTTTTTCTTTCAACAAACCACCCATATCCCACCAAGGCAGCATGATCTAAAAAGAAAAACGAAAGTTTCTCTTTTTAAATTTAGTAATGTATACAGGAGAAGGGGTTACTGAGGCAGGGTGACCAAAAACAGAAAGAAAAACCCTAAAATAAAGAAAAAACTTTCATTATCATTCAACACTTTCACCATCATTCATACATAATCACTGTCTTTGCAGAGGTGCTCAGATACAACAGTTTAGATATCTCTCCAAACAGTCAATATCCCATACTCCTCCTTTAAAGTGCAGGCATTGTGCTTCCCACCTCCAGGACTCAAGTCCAGCTAACTGGTTGCCCTGAATCCCTTCACAAAACATTACCCTGTTCACACCCCAACAGCTCGTCAGGTCCCAGAAAACATTTGTCTCCATTCACTCCTATCTAACACGTTCATGCACGTTTGCCGGAAGTCCAAGCCCCTTGCCCACAAAACCTCCTTTATCCCCTCCCTCCAACCTTTCCTATATGAATTCAAAATAGAAAAATTTGAGAAATAATTAGGATATAGGACAGAAATAACCCTTTCTCCTGTACGCATTATTCAAGTTAAAAAGTGAAACTTTTCTTTTTGGACCGCCCTGCCTTGGTGGGATACGGCCAGTTTGTTGAAAGAAGAAGAGGAGGAAGATAAGACAGAAAATATAATTATTGAGTTATTGCTATCTACTACATTTAACTTGCTCTCAATACTTCCACAGATATGACCATCCACACATCCTGGCAGGTCAGGGCACCATGGGACTGGAGATAGTAGAGCAAGTACCCAAGATTGATGCTGTGGTTATCCCAGTTGGTGGGGGTGGCCTCATTGCAGGTGTTGCACTAGCTGTCAAGGCCCTCTACCCACACATCCAAGTCATTGTAAGTTTTAACATCACTGCAATGACTTGAAAATTAAAATTACAATCTGGTGAAACTTGCTCATTAGCTTGAAAGATGCGATATAATTTTTTTTATTATAGGGCGTCATGGTCAAACCCTGAAAGAGACTTTCTACAGATAAAGATTATTACTAGTATTATTACTGCGTTCATAGAGAAATAAACCCTGTGACGTAATACAGAAAAATATAGAAGCATCAGAAACTAGACTATAATACACATGCTGCTTTGTAATTGTTTAATACACGAGATAATTATTTTAAAAGCTTTTCATAGTTATTATTATTCTTACTGTAAGATTTTCCTAGTTTTTCCAGTTATTGATGATAATGAAAGCTTTTCATAGTTATCTCTGCAAATTAATGTCTGATTTTGTGGGTTGGCAGGGAGTGGAATCAGAGCGGTGTGCCAGCTTTAGTGCTGCCATGAAGGCTGGAAAACCTGTATATGTGAAGGCTGAGTCTACTTTGGCTGACGGTCTAGCTGTCCCCATGGTTGGTGTCAATGCCTTTGCTACAGCATCCCGTCTTGTTGATAAGGTGAGTTTGAGGAGGAAGTAAAATATGAAAGTACAGGATTTTGTATAAAATATGTACTGTATAAATGGCACAGTACTGTTGAGTAAATTTCCTTGTATGTAGGAGGCATTGAACTGAAGCCATTTTGAATGTGTGGATTTTCTGGATATATATTCAAGATTGTAGGTAGTAGGTTGGTAGACAGCAACCACCCAGGGAGGTACTACTGTCCTGCCAGGTGACTGTGAAACAGAAACTTGTAACTGTTTTACATGATGGTAGGATTGCTGATGTCTTTTTTCTGTCTCATAAACATGCAAGATTTCAGGTACATCTTGCTACTTCTACTTACACTTAGGTCACATTACTCATAAATGTACAAGCATATATATACATACTCCTCTGGGTTTTCTTCTATTTTCTTTTTAGTTCTTGTTCTTGTTTATTTCCTCTTATCTCCATGGGGAAGTGGAACAGAATTCTTCCTCCGTAAGCCATGCGTGTCATAAGAGGCGACTAAAATGCCAGGAGCAAGGGGCTAGTAACCCCTTCTCCTGTATATATTACTAAATTTAAAAGGAGAAACTTTCGTTTTTCCTTTTGGGCCACCCCGCCTCGGTGGGATATGGCCGGTGCGCTGAGAGAAAGAAAGATATATATATATGTGCGTGGATGTTGTGTGAATGATAAGAAAGAGATGATTGTGGATGTTATGAATGAGAAGAAGCTGGATGTCCTGGCTTTAAGTGAAATAAGGTGAGTGGTGCATTGAGGTATATGTGGAGGTAAAAAATGTTATCTATAGAGGCAAAGAAGGGAATGTATGAAAGTATAGTAGTACCAACACTCTTATATGGGTGTGAAGCTTGGGTTGTAAATGCTGCAGCGAGGAGGCGGTTGGAGGCAGTGGAGATGTCCTGTCTAAGGGCAATGTGTCGTGTAAATATTATGCAGAAAATTCGGAGTGTGGAAATTGGGAGAAGGTGTGGAGTTAATAAAAGTATTAGTCAGAGGGCTGAAGAGGGTTTGTTGAGGTGGTTTGGTCATTTAGAGAGAATGGATCAAAGTAGAATGACATGGAGAGCGTATAAATCTGTAGGGGAAGGAAGGCGGGATAGGGGTCGTCCTCGAAAAGGTTGGAGGGAGGGGGTAAAGTAGGTATTGTGGGCGAGGGGTTTGGACTTCCAGCAAGCGTGCATGAGCGTGTTAGATAGGAGTGAATGGAGACAAATGGTATTTGGGACCTGACGAGATTAGTTAGAGTGTGAGCAGGGTAATATTTAGTGAAGGGATTCAGGGAAACCGGTTATTTTATATAGCTGGACTTGAGTCCTGAAAATGGGAAGTACAGTGCCTGCACTCTAAATGAAAGTGTTGAATATTGATGAAAGTATTTTCTTTTTGGGGATTTTCTTTCTTTTTGGGTCACCCTGCCTCGGTGGGAGACGGCCAACTTGTTAAAAAAAAAAAAAATACGCACATCTAGGGTTTTTCTTCTTTTTTCTTACTAGCTCTTGTTCTTGTTTTTTTTCTCTGTATTGTCCATGGGGAAGTGGAAAAGAATCTTTCCTCCGTAAGCCATGCGTGTTGTATGAGGCGACTAAAATGCCGGGAGCAATGGGCTAGTGACCCCTTCTCCTGTGCACATTTACTAAAAATCAGAAGAAGAAAAACTTTATAAATCTGGGATGCTTGAATGTGCGTGGATGTAGTGCGGATGATAAGAAAGAGACGATTGCTGATGTTATGAATAAAAAGAAGTTGGATGTCCTGGCCCTAAGCGAAACAAAGCTGAAGGGGGTAGGCGAGTTTCAGTGGGGAGAAATAAATGGGATTAAGTCAGGAGCACCTGAGAGAGTTAGAGCTAAGGAAGGGGTACCAATAATGTTGAAGGACCAGTTATGGAAGGAGAAGTGGGAATATAAATCTGTAAATTCAAGGATTATGTGGATTAAAATAAGGGTTGGATGTGAAAAGTGGGTCATAATAAGCATGTATGCACCTGGAGAAGACAGGAGTGTAGGGGAGAGAGAGAGATTTTGGGAGATGTTAAGCGAATGTATAGGAACCTTTGAACCAAGTGAGAGAGTAATTGTGGTAGGGGACCTAAATGCTAAAGTAGGAGAAACATTTAGAGAGGGTTTGGTAGGTAAGTTTGGGGTGCCAGGTGTAAATGATAATGGGAGCCCTTTGATTGAACTTTGTATAGAAAGGGGTTTAGTTATAAGTAATATGTATTTTAAGAAAAGGAGGATAAATAAGCATACAAAACATGATGTAGGGTGTAATGACAGTAGTTTGTTGGACTATATATTGGTAGATAAAAGACTGTTGAGTAGACTTCAGGATGTACATGTTTATAGAGGGGCCACATATATCAGATCACTTTCTAGTTGTAGCTACAGTGAGAGTAAAAGGTAGATGGGATACAAGGAAAATAGAAGCAGCAAGTAAGAGAAAGGTGAAGGTGCATAAATTAAAAAAGGAGGCAGTTAGGGTAAGACATAAACAACTTTTGGAGGATAGTTGGGCTAGTGAGAGTATAGGCAATGGGGTCGAAGATGTATGGGGTAGGTTTAAGAATGTAGTGTTAGAGTGTTCAGCAGAAGTTTGTGGTTACAGGAAAGTGGGTGTGGGAGGGAAGAAGAGCGATTGGTGGAATGATATAAAGAAAGTAGTAAGGGAGAAAAAGTTAGCATATGAGAGGATTTTACAAAGTAGAAGTGATACAAGGAGGGAAGAGTATATGGAGAGAAAAAGAGAGGTTAAGAGAGTGGTGAAGCAATGTAAAAAGAGAGCAAATGAGAGAGTGGGTGAGATGTTATCAACAAATTTTGTTGAAAATAAGAAAAAGTTTTGGAGTGAGATTAATAAGTTGAGGGAGCCTAGGGAACAAATGGATTTGACAGTTAACCCTTTCAGGGTTTTCGACATACTGGTACGGCTTACGCACCAGGGTTATTGACGTACTAGTACGCCTAAATTCTAACGCCTTCAAATCTAACGAGAGAAAGCTGGTAGGCCTACATATGAAAGAATGGGTCTTTATGGTCAGTGTGCGCAGTATAAAAAAAATCCTGCAGCACACAGTGCGTAATGAGAAAAAAAAACTTTGACCATGTTTTTGGATTAAAACAGTGACTTTGCACTGTATTTTTGTATGGTATTTATGGTTGTATTCTAGTTTTCTTGGTCTCATTTTATAGAATGGGAGACATATTACAGAAATTGAGATGATTTTGACTGGTTTCACAATGAAAACTACCTTGAAATTGAGCTCAAAGTAGCAGAAATGTTCGATTTTTACCAAAGTTCAAAAGTAAACAAATCATGCCAAGCGTCCATTACACGTCAACTGGTGAATCTAATATTCTTTCACAAGTGTGCTGATATTATTTATACCATTTCTACACTAATGCAGTAGTCTGCATAACAGTAAATCTATTATTTGTAAGAATAAAAATTCAAAGTGGAAAGCAAAAGAGATGTAAGAGAGGCCTGGGGATGTGACTAATGAACAGATAAAATGTTATTTTAGTTCTAGGAATGTCTTCTCTTGTTTATTCTGGACCCTATTTGGAAATTGGCATCTTCTGAAATTTGTGTGAAATTGGCAAAATTGCCAATTTCTGACCACTTTATTGGATAATTGAAATTGGTAAATGGGTGGTTTCTTGTACTCATTCGATAGAAAAAATGGAGTTCTAGCGAAATAAATATGATTTTTGTCGACTAGTACACAGGAATTGGCCGATGTTTACACATCGGCGAGACCGCTAACTTCGCGAGAGCATAATTCCATAAGTTTTCTATCAAATTTCATTCTTTTGGTGTCCTTATGATCAGGAAAAGATTCTCTAGTTTTTCATAAGAAATTTTTTTTTTTCCGAAAAATTTTTGACCCTGAGAACAAGTTTAGGAGAGGGCCTCTTGACCCTGAAAGGGTTAAAAATAGGAGAGGAGAGTTATTAAATGAAGAGTTAGAGGTATTGGGAAGATGGAGGGAAAATTTTGAGGAATTGTTAAATGTTGATGAAGAGAGGGAAGCTGTGATTTCGTGTATAGGGCAAGGACGAATAACATCTTGTAGGAGTGAGGAAGAGCCAGTTGTGAGTGTGGGGGAAGTTCATGAGGCAGTGGGTAGAATGAAAGGGATTAAGGCAGCTGGGATTGATGGGATAAAGATAGAAATGTTAAAAGCAGGAGGGGATATAGTTTTGGAGTGGTTGGTGCTATTATTTAATAAATATATAGAAGAGGGTAAGGTACCTAGGGATTGGCAGAGAGCATGCATAGTTCCTTTGTATAAAGGCAAAGGGGATAAAAGAGAGTGCAAAAATTATAGGGGAATAAGTCTGTTGAGTATACTTGGTAAAGTGTAGGGTAGAGTTATTATTGAAAGAATTAAGAGTAAGACAGAGAGTAGGATAGCAGATGAACAAGGAGGCTTTAGGAAAGCTAGGTCGTGCCCAAGGGTTAGGCAAGTGAAGAATTCCCAAGTATTAAGATCCCAAGAAGTTGCAGTGTCTGACAGGATTGTAGATGAATGGTTCAGAGAACTGACACGTTGATAAATTAGACACATGTGCAACTCTTGGGTATCCTTATTGAGGACTGATGAAGCCACTGTGTGGGAAAATGTTTCCTCAATAAAGATACCCAAGAGTTGCACATGTGTCTAATTTATCAACGTGTCGGTTCTCTGAACCATTCATCTACAATCCTGTCAGACACTGCAACTTCTTGGGATCTTAATACTTGGGAATTTTTCACTTGCCTAACCCTTGGGCACGACCTACTTCCACATTGGACAAATGTGACACCACCTACGACTGCTGCACCTCTCCAACCTACTTCCACATTGGACAAATGTGACACCACCTACGACTGCTGCACCTCTCCTGCCTACGGTATATAAGCTGCTTCTCCGCACATATGCTGTATTCTATTCACGATTGATGGACTGACCACATCGACTCAAGGTTGAGAGACTGATTACCTCATTCTCATCCTGTTCTTCA